ATATTAATTAATATTTGTTAATAATTAGTATTTGTTAATATAGTAATGTTTTAATTGTATTAATATTTATTTATAATTAATGGTAATAAATAATAATTAAGATTAATGGGGGTTAAATTGGAAAAAGTGACAATAATCTCCCAAGATATTATTCCATGTAGCGTTTTCATAAGCTAGCTTATGTGTATCTAAACATGTACGTAGAAAGCTAACTTATTTTTACCAAACAATGCCAAAAGTTGTTGAAACGTCAAAACCGTCTTATAAACCTATTACAGCACTTTTAGATACGAAGCTTTATAGTTTGGTCCTATATATAAATTATCTTATTAGGATGTTCAGATATTTACATTCTATAAACCCAATCTTGTTGCAGTATTTGTTCAGATTATCGAAAATGAAGTTTTCTATTAACCATGCATACTGATTTGAGTAAAAATACAGATTTTTAGATGTGAAATATTCATGAGATATGACGTAATGGCAAGAGATGAACATACCTTGATTAATTGCTCGACGTTTTGAAACAAAAGCATATGATAACTTGTGACGTTTGGATACATAAATTGAGTTATCGGTTCACCCAGGCCAAAATAATTGACGATAAAATCATTTGTCCCCGCACTCAGCATAAACACTGCATTTTTTATTATATCGAGTGTTTTTTCGTTCCCGATGAACATCTCCATCTTCGATTTGTATTCTTTGAAGTATTCCATCTGTTGTTCCAAAGAAATTGCGCTCTACACACCATGTCCAAAATCAAAACGTACGTAAGAAACTTATATATCGGATGCATGCTTATAAATAAATATATCGGGGGTTAATCATTTGAGAACTCAATAAATTGTAATAATCTTGAGAACTGGTGTATCATGTGTTATATATTTCAAGTGATTTTTTTTCATCTTATGACTTGTATTTAATGTATTGATTAACATATATTTGTTTCACAACATGTTTTTTCATATGTATTTGTTTCACAATGTGAAAACTTTTAGTTGTAATTTTTGTTTCACAAACACATAAAAAGTGTTTACATTGTGAAACGAATATATGTGAAACAAACATATTGTTAAACAAATATATGTTAATCAATACACTAAATGCAAGTCTTAGATGGAAAAAAATATCACGTGAAATAGCACATACTACACTAGTTCTCATGATTATCATAATTTCATGGTTTCTCAAAAGAAGACTTATATATATATACTTGGGATCATGTGAAACCAATGGTTTTTCATGAGATCCGTAAGACCAATTCTAAACCCTTGGATTAGATCTATAATCTGAAAATCTAAACATTCATAAACGCTACGAGATTTAACCCGTTAGATCATTAACTTATGAAGTTAATCAATGAACATAAATTAGTCTTACAGGTCTCACGAAAAACCTTTGGTCTCACGTGAACCCAACCCTATATATATATATATAAAGACATAAAAATGTATTATTGTTCTAATAAACTTTTTAATAAGATTTAAGTTTATAAGACCAAACATTTATGTATCATATGTAAAAGTGTTACAATAAATTTATATGACCCTTTTCGACGTATTAAGAGTTAGCTTTTTAAGCGTGATTTTGAAATAGGTTGTCAAATTAGCTTTTTTATAAGCTACGGTACTTTTAAAAAGTGTACTACTAACACATCCTTTTATATGGAACTTGTTTTTTGTAATAAACTTTTTCAAATAATTTCCCATACAGAAACAATCTAGTAAGACATTTAGGGGTGTTTGAGATTTCTTATTTAAAACAACTTATTTTTTTTACAAAAGTTCTTATCAACTTATTATAAGTTCAAAAACTTCTTATTATCGGTTTGACACCGGTATAAACTGTTTATCCGAACACTAAAAAATGCTTATTACCGGTGCTACACCGAAATAAGTCAATAAACCGATTTATGTTTTAAATATGGTAAGATATAAATGGTGAAACAAGAGTTATTTTTCTGAATCAAAAAGAGCAACTGAATAAGTAAACGAAAGTAGAACCAAACAGACATTTATGAACAAGTCAAATTCAGAAGTTGTTTTCTACTGTACAATACTTTCAAGACTGATTAGCAGCTTTTTAATATTTTATGTTCCCTTTTCACTTGCAACATTGTTTCCTATGCTTTTCAATCTTATTTTTAAAAGTACTTAATTCGACTTATTTTACGTCTTATTCAATAAGTTTTTAAAGCGAAGTTAAGAGACCTAACAAGCTTTATCTACAAAGTTGGACAACGTAACACCACAAAAGAAATAAGTCGTCCAACTCGACTTTTTATACGATGCTTTTCAAAATCATCATATATGGAACGCGAAAAGGACAGTTTCTATAAAAAGTTTAATAGCACGATATATATTTTGTATCGTATTAAGTTGTCCAACTTTATTAATACAACTTGTTAGGTCGTCTTAACAAATTATTATAATGTCTTTAGCTAGGATACAAGATTATCCACGATTCAATAAACTTAAAAACCCGTTAAATACTTTATTATAGAATGTCTTAATGTGGTTGAACGTTCGAAAAGCCCAGTTTGTTATAGTGAAAATCGTCAAATTGTCTAAATAGACACATGCATAATAAGAACGATAGATGAAGAGTGTGTGTGTGTGTGTGAGAGAGAGAGAGAGAGAGAGAGACGGAGAGTGTGGCGGTCACTGGATCAAATCCTGATCCTGCCGATGCAAAGGAAACTCCGGTCATCAGGTCTTCGATCCTGAGTGTCGGATCCAAATAAGCGGGCATAATGTCTTTAACACCTGTGTAAGAAGCTGCACGAATAAAGTAATTAATCAGTCAAAACTCTAGGGGTTTTCGGGCTACATAAGATAGGTCATCAGTTTGAGTTCCTCCAAACCATAGTGGAGGTGCATGCAATCGAACCCAGACATGGATGGAACCAAGAATCTTTCGATACAGTGCTACCATATAAAATGGTTGCACCTTTCACGAACCTAAATTCTTTTATCTTATAACGGAGGGATACGGGTGCCCTTAACTGGGGTCTGGGAACCCGGACACCCATAGTTAAAAACAAAAACTTGTCTGTCAAGAACCCTAATTAACTAATAGATTCAAGAAACCAAGAATCTTGGAAGAGAGAAAAGAGAACAAATTCGATGAACTTAAATATTTCACCAATGAAATCGGAGACGAGGCGACCGTTGGTAAACCTCCCAGTTGGAATATGGTTGATGAAATCCCTTCCATAAGGAGGGAAATTGCTTTTCATGGGAGTTTTTATGAAGTTATTGTTTCCAGCATCGACCGTCGAGTCTCCGAACACGAAAATGGCAGACGGCTTATTCGGCTTAGCAAGTGGAGTTTGAGACTGAACGTAGTTACAAGTAAGGAAGATGACCAAAAGAAGGATAAGTTTATGGAGTACCAAAAAAGAATCCATTATGGCTGAACCAAACAAGATAGAAAGTAAGGAGTATATATGGGTTTGGTTAAGCTGTATCTGTATGATGCAATGGTTTGCTTAATGGCCTCCTTGGTTGCTCACCTAATAATCTTTATTTCATACAATACTTTGTCCTTGTGAAAGAATTTCTACCTACACCACCACACTATGATGAAACAAATTAAATATTCTTTTTATTTTAAAACATTAAATAATATCTGATTTCAAGACCGTCTCTTAACATGTTAAATGCGAGATTTTCAATATTTAAGAGTCTCAAATTTACAGTTGTTTAGGGTATTTTATTGACTTGTGTAAAACTATAGCAGAAATTATTTAGGTTTAAACCATTAATTGTTTGGTTTTAAGTTCAAATCATTAATGGTTGTGGTTTAGTTTCAGATTGTTAATCGTTTTAGGTTTAGCTCATTTTTGTTCTTAACATATATTCTCTGTTAGTTATTTCATTTATTCAATGTAATTAAAAGTTTTTGATGTAGTAAGGCTTCCAAAAAGATTGAAACGTCCCTGTCTGATTTCATACAGCAAAATTGATTTTATAGGACGTTTAAAATGAAAAAAAAAAACCTTAAAAGAATACTTTATAGGACACAAGTTTATAGGACCAAACCGAAAAATGTTACAATAAATTTATAAGACGTTTTTAGGAGGCAAAAATGTCCACTTATATTGGTGTCCTTAGAGACGAGTTTTGTGTGAGACCGTTAGGATTTTCGGTAATCAACAAATATGTTTCCTACCTAAAAGTGTTATATTAATAAGTTGTCAGCATGAAGTTAAGCGACCAGTGAAATAAAACAAATAAATAAATAAAATGTTTCATATATAGGAAACTAATTTTTAAAAGTATCGTGTATGCATCTATAAATAAATGCTAATAAAAACGATACACTTTTTATGTGTGACTAAATTTGTTAACTTCAACGCTTTTTGACAAGCCTTTGCTGCAATATGTCGTGTGAACCAAAAAATATTACCAGAAGCAGAAGAAGAATTAGTAGCAGCCGAATATTCGGGTATCAAATTTGGTCGGTTGAACTTGTTTAGTCGTTGCACTTCGTTCTAACAAAATAAGGCCTTCCGATATCTGACACAATTCATAATTATATAAACTCAGTCTTATTAAAGTGCATGTTTGTTAGCAGTTTAATGAGCTTAATGGAGTTAATAACTTTTCAGTCAGCTATATATGATTGTTTGGTAGTGACTAAATTTTTTATATAAAAGAATAACTTATTCAATAAGCTTTTGGGGGAAGCTTTATGCAAAAAAGTCAAGTTTTTTTTTCCAAACATACCCTTCTAATTAAAAATCACACTGAAAAAACCCTTTCAAATAAAAATCTTCTCAATCTATACATACAGATTAATCCATACATACAATTTTATCCATACAAAACTTAATGAAAAACCCAATTAAAGAGCCCCTAAAACATTTATCTTTAAATAAACCCCATTTTTTGTATTTTTTTTTCTAATTTTTGATGACCCATAAATAAAAGAGTAAATTACGATTTTCTTCCATATGGTTTCTTAATAATTTCGATTTTTGTTCATGTGGTTTAGAAATTACGATTTTCGTGTAAATGGTTTCTTAATAATTTCGACATCTATTTATGTGGTTTAGAAATCACAAGTTTCATCTCTATGTTTGTAATTTATTGTTATTTTTTGTCCTTGAACGAATTCTTATATTTAAGTACAAAAATCAAAACAGTAAAGAATTGTAAACCATAGGGACTGAAACAACCATAAATTATAAATCATAAAAACGAAAATAAAAATGAATTACAAACCATAAAGAAAAAAACCGCAATTAACAAATCACACAGACACATACAAAAACCGTAATTACTTTAAATGATATATTTTTTTATAAATCTTTGGATATTTCAAGAATGGATTTTATGAAATGATTAAAAAATGAAAAAATTATTTTATAAAATGATTAAAAAATGAAAATTATTTTATAAAATTAGTATTTACATAAATTTACCATCAATAAATACAGTGCAATACTCCAAATCAGACCTTTTGTTGATGGTCTTTAACCGTCGGACCAAGTGGTAACCGCTGCACACCAAAACCTTTTGTTGATGGCCTTTAATATTGTGTTCAATAGGGTTTGGTTCCAAAGAGAATGAAAGTTATGATGAGAAACGTAAGAAGAGATCTTTACTTTTGGATCGATCTTAATTGAATGTCAACACTAATGAGTTGCACCTCATGGGTGTAGATGAGATTAACAGTGATCAATGATTCAGATCTCAACTTTTCTTCTCATACGATCCTTTTTATGTTAAACTAGTTTTGTACCCGCGCAATGCGGCAGGAGCCGTGAATTTTGACGATTTTGAAGTTTCATTGGTTTTAGTAGAGAAGATTTAACGATGATATAAGTTACACTTGGTCTTTACATATTAATACAATTTGAATAAATAAGAGTTATGGTTCTAATTACAGTCTATCAATGAAAAAAATTGTATGAAAGTTTAAAATCCAATATATTTAAAATCCAACATATTTAAACGACTCCACAAATGTGTTCGATTTACACCAAAGGCAAAGAATCAATAGATCAAGAGCAAGACTGGGTGAACTTTTAATAATTTATGGTGAATATCATTTGGATCTCACCTTGGGGGATGATGAGAAAACATAGAGGTATGAGAGGGCGAATGCATGATTGAAAGATGTCAAAAGTATCTTGTGAACATGGAAAAAAAAAGAGTAATAATGTGCATTGATAACTTGTACCGTATGTTATTTTAATTGTAGATTAAGAGATTTTAAGACTAAATGCATAAAGTAGTAGTACTTAATGCATTATGAGTTATTTTTAAGACTTTTAAGACTTTGTGCATAAATGTATAGTATTTTGTGCATTAAAAATTGTTTTTAAGACTTTTGATAAATATGGTTTATAAAGTAGTATAAATATATAAAGGGTTAAATGCATGAAATAACAATCTACTTTCATAAAATTTCTTATTATAACATTCTATTTTTGTTTTTCTTTATTACAGCAATGTACTTTTAAATTATTTTTTATTAAGGCATTGTACTTTAAAAAATCTACCCATAATAGCAATGGGTAACCTGTTACCTTTTAAACCGGTTAACCCTTTGACTTTTTTGCTTGTATGGCTTTAATGAGGTAATGTGGATGACACATCATTTTGATGACTTAACTAAAAATAAAATAAAAACCTATTTCAAATTATTATTAGTGATTTTTATTTTTCATTGCTATTATCTAAAAAAACATTTAATTTTTTTTTTACTTTTTCTTATTAAGTTGCATTCAAATTAAATATTCTTAGAATAAAATATTTATTAAATAGATATGAAACATTATTTTCGAGATATATTTTGTTTGTAAAAAAGACAACTTTTCATATTTTATGTTGTTCAAATAAATACATATCTTTTAAAGTTCTCTTTAAAATATTAATGAAATAAATTGTTATCTACAATTTTTTAATATTGTTATATTAATAAATAATTCAAAAAAATCTAATTAATTTAACATATTTATACGTCAAGTAAAAAGTTTTTGAACAAATMTAATGTATTTTTTAAAAGATAATATTTTTTGGTAAAAAAAAGAACAATTCTTATTTTCCTTTTTTTGAAAAACACATATTAAAAAAAAGAACAATTCTTATTTTTCTTTTTTTTGAAAAACACATATTTAAAAAAAATATTAGCGAGATAAGTTGTGTTATACTAGTTTTTATTAATATTGGTATATTAATGAATAATTTATAATTTTTTTAATTCATTTAATATATTTATTAAATAACATGTAAAATATCTAAATATTAAAATTAAAAATACAATGTTTAATAAGAATTAGTAGATGCTATAATAAAATAGTTTTGAAAGTACAATGATGTAGTAAGAAAGTCATATCACTGTAGTACATGTGGACAGCCTACGTAGACAATGAGGTGGCATGGAAACCTAATATAAAGGGTAAATTTAAATCAAAAGGTTACCCAATGCTATAATGGGTAAATTTTTCAAAGTACAATGTCCTAATAAAAAATAGTTTGAAAGTACATTGCTGTAATAAGAAAAACTGAAAGTACAATGCTATAATAAAAACTTTATAAAAGTAGATTGTTATTTTGTGCATTTTACCCGTATATAAATATATACATATAATTCTTGAATAACTCAGATAAGAAGAAAGAAGTAAATAACACTCAATATGAAAGAAAATTCCATATGCTATTCAATGCCTAATCAATGCTGCGAAGAGGCCCTTTTTACATGCGACTCTATTTTTTAACAGGCTGGCAAAGAATTTTGAAATAAAAACGTTAAATAAGCTTCAAAAATCAGAAACTATTGCTTTCATGCGACTCGTTTATTTAAAAGCAATCATAAACGATATAATTTTTTTTTGGAAAACATTAATTCATCGGAGTCAAATTCAAGGCTCCAAATGAAGGATTCCAGGACATTGCATCCGGCCTGTCAAGAGCTTTATGTGCACATCTTGTAGATCTGCAACTCCAAACAGTGGCAGACCCATGATTTTTGTTGAGATGGTGCACCCTTATCGTGGATCGAAGCCCCTCAAAGTTGTCTGATATATGTTTAGCCAAATTCAACTGAATTAAGAGATTTTTTTAAGTTTTTTGGTTTATTTCAAAAGAGTTTTTCGGTTGATTTTGAGAGACTTTTTTTCGGTTTTTTATGTTCCTTGGATTTTCCAATATCTTAGAGCATCCTTCAAACTTTAACGGGTGCCTCTTTTAATACCCAAAAAAAATCTGCTTATGAAAATAAGTTAAACGGACATCCAAAGATCCTACTTTTTATCTTTCCCAAAAGTCTCACTAATCAATGAATGTATGACCTACTCATGTATCAATTTCTCATCATTCAAACACCCTCTCTACCCTGTAAAAGCATTTTTTTATTAGATGAGTCAACTAACCATGCATGAATGCTTTACAGTTTGAGG